ATCGTGGTTGGAGGGGGAGGCTAAGATGGATGGGGTGGGACAAAGAAACTCACAGCACGAACGCCGCTGAGGTCGGCTCCTAGCCATATCAGCAAGTGTGTCCAACCAAACGTGTTCATCGTCTTTCGGACCCCAACCAGGGAGCCGTGACGCTCCAACCGAGGCCAGCTCAGAAGTGCGAGCCTTCATTCGTCTGGACCAAGTCATCGCTTGGCCACCCCTCCTCTTCTTCCATCCACACCCCCGGCGCGCAAACAACGCACGTCGCGGGAGTCGGTGGACTGGCATGCGTAACACGTGGGCAAGCCATCGGAACCTGGTGCGTGAAATAACGGTGCTGAGCGTTTCAGTTCCTTTTCCTGTGCCATAAACAAGGCGTCGAACACGCTCGTTGCTCACGCGGTGTTCCCATTAAATGTGAGCTAAATTACGAAGGTACCGGTGGTCGAACATAACTAGCCTCTTCAGGTCCGCTGCTTTAAGTGGCCAGGTTTCACAACCGTACAGTAAGGTCGAACGTACTGCTGCATTGTACACTCTACCCTTCAGGGTGAAAGTGATGTTGCGCCTTCGCAATAAGTGGCGAAGGCTAGCAAAAGCACTTCGAGCTTTCGCTATGCGGTTCGTGATCTCATCTTCAATCCCACGGGCGCTGATACAACTTCCCAGGTAGTTGAATTTTTGAACGACTTCTAGCTGATCCCCACCAACGGTCAGCGTAGGAGGCGGTCCAGACCAATCTTGGAGGAACGCTTTGCAATTCGAGGGTGCGAAGCAAAGCCCGAAGTGACGGACAGCCAGTGCTAATCTGTCCAGTGCCGCTTGGCACGTTTGTGAGCTGTCACAGATCAGGGCAATATCATCAGCATACTCTAAGTCAAGAAGTCGTTCTTCTGGGAGTAGCTCCACACCTTCTAAGTGGTGTACTGTAAACGCGATTTCCATGACTTCGTCAACGGCGAAGTTGAAGAGGAAAGGTGACAACGGGCATCCTTGTCTCACGCCGCTGGAAATACTAAAGCGCGACGACAACTTGCCGTAAGCCCTCACTCTGCCCGAGCTACGCGCATATAATGCTTGGATAATATTCACATATTTCTCGGGCACACCTCCTGAGTAGACAGTCCTAAAGTGCATGTCTATTCACCGAATCGAATGCACCTTTGATGTCGAGGAACACGACAACGGTGGGCCGCCAATATATGTGACGGTGCTCCAACAGCTGACGCAAGGTGAAGATGTGGTCAATGCAGCCACGACCTCGACGAAATCCAGCTTACTCTTCACGAGTCTGGCTTTCACGAGTGCCAGTCAGTCTGTGAAGGATGACAGAGGCAAGCAATTTGGAGGCGATGGAGATCAGACTGATTTCTCTATGGCTGCCGCATTCCGATCGTGAGCCTCCCTTGAAAATTGGGACTATGACGGAGCGGCTCCAATCGGTTGGGACAGTTTCCTGCTCCCACCGTTTGACTAGTAACTCGTGTAAATCATCCATAAAAACAGGTCCCCCGAATTTGAACAGGGCTGGAGGGAGATCATCAGGTCCCGCGGCTTTATTTAACTTCAACAGTTTGATCTCACGTTCGACTTCTGAGCGAGAGGGTGGATCCAAATGGACAGCCCAGGGAGTGGGGCGATCAGTGGCCGGCGAGAAATCTAACCACTCCGACCGATTAAATTGCCTTTTCAAGTGCTCAGCCCAACGCTCTAAGCGTTTTGACAAATTGTGTATAGGCTGTCCACTCTCGTCACGTATAGTTTCACTAACACCAGGTCTCCTGCTGCCCGTTTCCCGTATCAGACGGAATAACTCACGATGGTTACCAAGGGCAGCGGCCATTTCCATCTCTGTTGCACGATGAGACCACCAGGATTCGCGGTCTCTCTTCAGGCTAGCACGGAGTTTCGCCCGGAGCTCTTTGCGAATTTCATTGTGTTCGCTTCCAGCCGGAATATGCCGGTGAGCATCGATAAGTTCTAGAGACTGTAAAGAGACCCAATGTCCATGTTGGCGATTAGACCTACCACATGAGGATTTGCCTGCTGCTAGTAAGGTCTGGTGAATATGAGACAGGTGAGCTTCAATTGCATCCAGTGAGCGTTTATCCAACTTGCATGACAGCGTACTTTGATAGGCATTCAGAACAGCTGGTTTCGCCAGTTGGCTGGGGTTAATGCGCTCACAACGTCGTCATGGGCGTCCGCCAAAACGCATCCGAATGTCAGCACATACAAGTGCATGGTCGGTGTCCACACCTGTGCTCCAAATCGAGCGACAGTTCTGGACGCAGCCTCTTCAGCGGTAACTTATCGCAATGTGATCGATTTGCGTCCATAGCTGGTTCGAGGTTGGTGAGCGCCAAGTCACGTTCCGACGGATCCTATGTCGGAAGTTAGTGCTCGCAAGAAATAAGCGAGCATCCTCACACAAATGAAGTAACCACTCACCGTTATCATTACGGGAGCCTATACCATATTGGTCGCCCAGATGCAGCTCATCAGTGGATAATTTTCCAACTTGAGCGTTCAGATCCCCAGCCAGCACTACAGTGTCCGAGCTTCTTCTGTGGCGAAGGAGCTCGTTCAGTTGACGATAGAAGTCGTCTTTTACCGAGTCATTGCTACAGTTTGTCGGTGCATAGGAAGCGATAACGAATAGACACCTGTTAGTCCCATGTGACTTCGAAGCTTTGAACGAACCAGCCAATCGGACCGCACACATCCGGCTACTGGTTGGAATCCAATCAATCAGAGTAGCTTCAGCCCGGGGACTCAGGGCAATACCAACACCTACTTGGCCGGTACTCGAAGCTGCATCGTCACCGGATAGGCGCAATGAGAAAGTGCTGCTAGTGTCACCTGAAGGGGATCACAGAGTGAGTACAGAGCTCGAGTCTTGCAGGCGGGTCTCCGGTAAGCAGCAGATATCAATCGATAGATTCTCTTATGTACGGGCAAGTGCTGCCTGTTGACCGATCTGAAGCAATGTGCGAACGTTGAGGCATACCAATCTGAAGGAGGATCGAAGTCTCCAAATGGAAGCCGATTAACTGGAATGGACCGCTTGCTTGGACATGGGCCTGTTGACAGGGCAGGAATGACGCTCCGCGTTCACATGTGAGTTGAAACTAAAAGGCAAGCGACTATTTAAGCAAGGTGGGGGAGGGCCGAGAATCGGGGGGTTGAAAACAGGGGGGATAAAAATGAAGCTGGAACTGGACGATAAGGGTGAAAAATGTTTCTTACTAATTCGTTTGATTGTGTTATTGGTCCTTTTACCACTTTCGGCAGAAGGTGTGCTTCACACGGTGACTGGAAACGATTTCATAGATTCCGCGGAGTACGGCATCACTGGTGAACTTAAAGTGGTTCATATGAGCAAAATCTTGAGAACAGCATGATGAAATGGTTATATCAACAGTAGATAGCGTAACAAACAGTACACCAAGGGGAAACAACAGCGACGGCCAATTTGAAGGCCCCATCTGAAAGCACTGAAGGTGCAGAGCGCATATCGTGCTGGAAAGTGAGACTGTAGTCCAACCATACATGTCGTCATACCTTATGTTTTGGCTTTAGAAACCTTAATATGTTTATGCTTTGTGGAAGGTTCGTTTGTTGACCATGCTTATTTAAACAAGATCTTCCTCACTTTTTATTGCGATCTCAGACCATTTTGCATTCCATACGTATGAACTACTTAGGTTTCTCTGTTTCTGGCATTTACATCAGTACTATTACTGCGTCTAAATAACTATGGAATCGTTTTGTGGTAACATATCTTCGGTTTGGGAACAACTACATAATCCTTCAAACCTCGTCTTTTCCCATTGTTTCTTGAGATTTTCCAGGACATTACTTAAAGCGCTCCCCCGTTCCGAACAGTACACGTCGTGCAACCTAGACACTATCGGAACTGATTCATCGATGTTAGTCGTCCCTCCTATCATCATCTACAGCAACAGCAGTGTCACACCACCGTATGCATCTACCGATTTCCATATCTAACCTCATTAACTGTGCCTTAGCACAATACGAAGCAACATCTTGCGTAGTGCCATACTTTGAAAGTTATCTGATGCGTCCGATTGTGGCGACTGCACATTAAAACAAATAGATTGCTCTTGAAATTAGACCTATAGACCAGCAGCAGCGCGCAACAACCATAGCTGTCCACTCACAGTCACCTATCCTAGGCTCTTTCGTTACTCTGGACTCTGTCGAAGGTGGGTCACGTACACCCACCGGATCAGTTTCTTTGCATGCCAACCAACTAATGCGCTTCGCTACACGCGAATCGAGAGAGTAGCCAGGTGATGAGGTTGCATTGTTTTCGGACTAGTGACAGATGACCTAATCACACTGATAGGTACCTTCTGCTCCGGCCGGATCGCAGACTTCATTCGTTATACGGCATACCTGTCCAGCGAGATAAAAAATGAAATGGTGATGCTATATCTTACCCCTCGTTTCATCCAACTATTCTTTTCTTTTTCAACTTCTTCCTCGTTGACTATTTTGCTAACTGCTTTTCTCCCCCAATTTCACTTTTGTTAATTCGTCTCGTCTCCGTTGTTTGTCGCATTTCGCCATCGGACTACGGTCTATCAAATGCACTGAACTGATATTAAATTCGCTAACCTGCATGTTCCCGAACTTATCTCTTTATTTAACTTCTAAGCCTTCGCACTGCATCAACAATGACAGTGCATTGAAACGCCTTATCCGTGGAGGGTCTGGTTTGTCTAGCTTTGTTCCACACCTTTGTTTCTGATTCTACGTTATATCACAGTATTGCGTTTAATGTTCATTTCTCCATGCATGGTAATCTAGGTTAACTTTGTAGATGACTCAGTTTGCACGTTTGTTAACCATTAGTGAAGCACTGGCCCGATTGATCACTACCTTCGTGCGCTAAGTAGTATTTTGATGGTTTCGGATGACCTTACTTCTAGTACCAGATTAGCTTCATTTTCTCCCTCTTTTTCCGTTTACAGCATTCGAACTACGCACTGGGGCGATTATCTTTGTTTACACCTTTCTGCTGGCGCCTATTCTTCATTCCCTTCTGGGTACAGTCAGCACTGACACAATATATGCTTTGGCGACAATTTTCCTTTTTCTGAACTGGGCATTTCTGGATTACACCACGCAGTCAGATGAGTTCTCATACAAACCTGGTTCGAACACTACTGCATTGAGCTCTAGCCTATTAGCCGCTCTTTGCTTAGCCAGTCGACTAGCTACTTCGTACCACACCTTCGTGCTGATTGCAGCAGCGACCACCCTATTCATTTTGTGGCCGTTGTTAGTGCGTACTATTCGGGTGAGTTTGGTTCCTCGATTCCTGCTAGTAGATGGTTTATTCTTTATTTTGCCTTATTGTACTGGAGTCATCGATATGAATGACTGACAGTATCGAATGTCAATCTTAGGCACCCTGTTGCCATTGTTTCGCATGCGTATTTTCATGAGAATTAAGCTTCGTTCCTCGATTCACTGCGCTCCATCACAGGGGCTTGAAATCACAGTGCCACTATGGTTATCGGCTGGGCATCAGCTAATTCGAGTTCGATGTTTTTTCGCGCGTTTTCTTCCTCCACCTCATTGCAATTTGGTGTGCTGCGCACTATCGTTTAGAATGCATGATGGGACCATTTATCTTTTGTTACATTTTGTCCGACAAGAATTGTTATCTATGACCTCACGAGTCATGTTTTATCGCCGATATCTTATGGCATCTGGAATCGGCTAAATCTGCAGTCTCACTTTACAGTGCGATCCTCTCTGGATTGTTGCTCTATTCGATCTGTTATGTTGCATATCCTCTTTTGGTTTGGCTTCTCCTTTTGACTGTCCGATTTGTTGGATGTTTGCAAGCACGTAAGGAATCGTAAAATTTACCCATATACCTCTGGCACTTGCTACGTGTTTTCTCGTTAGCTCCAATTACAGACTTCACGTTCCCGTTGCCATTTACTTGCAGCGATTAACGTTTTTCCTATTTGTTTGATCGGATTCTGTTATTCGTCTTCAGCAGTTTTCGTAAACTGCTTATATCTCTTAAATGGACTCAACTGCTTTAAACCCTTCCTTGCTTTTTTACTCTGCTTATGTCGATACCTATTTGTTTGTACACCTACACGTATTACTCGGTCTGGAACTTGGATTAGAATAGCGGATTTTCGCTACGTGCCCTTTGACCTTTCTTCATCAAAATGACATGGTCACCATTAGGCTTTAATTACTTGATATTATGTTGCTTCACGGCATGGTAGGTTTCTATAGACCCGCTGATAGCAGGCAGTAGTGGTCTCGGGTTTAGAAACGAACGGATTCCTTATTTGCGCATCTTGCATGTTAGACACTGTACAGTGTGCGTGTATTATTGGTGAACTGAACACAAGGCAGAGCAAGTGATAAAACCGATAGTACTGTCATACACAGGTGAAAGCTCCTTTTTCATGCAGGAAGGGATGATCCACATTGTTGTACATATTTACGGGTATGAATGTGAATGTAAACGTATGAATGTAACTGTTTTATATCACGGAGACATGGGGAGGGGGCGGACAATAAGAACTTGTTGGTTGTGGTCTGTTGTGCACTTACTTTCTGAGTAACGCGTTTCCTTCCTTTTTCTACGCGCATTTGCAATGCGCTGACAAATTCCGCTTTATGGCCAGTTCGCTTCTCCAGATCAGGTTTAATCTACTCCTGACAGAATCAAGAGTCAGATAGCTGCGGTACAAATGTGTATGACTATCTTGCCTAGTAAAACAGTTAGTCCCAGAAGTCTTGTCTCTTTTTGCTCTGTTACTCGGCGATCAAGGATTACTGGTGGTTTTTTGTGAGCAGTGTAATTTTCTTAGAAAGTAGAAGCCAAGGTCCAACTTTGCACGATAATCTGCCTCGACGGGGCATCGAATCCCGGACACACGGATTACACTACTTAAAGAAAACCACCAGTAATTTACCATTGCCCTTTTGACATCAGGAGGACAGATGCTTCGGTTCATTGGGAAGTGACGAGTAAGTGAGCCAATCTGCAACACCAGGACAGATACTGTGAGCTTATTGGCAAAACGTGGCGAACCAAGCAGAAGTCATATATTAAATTGCGCACCTGGTCGTCAGCCCAGTGGTAGAGCAGTGGACCGGTAGTCCGTGTGTCCGGGGTTCGATTCCCCGGCGAGGAAAATTATTGTGCGAAGTTTACTCGTGGCTTTTACTTTCCACGAACAACTCAAGGATTACGTCTGGGTTAGAGGAAAGCGCACTAAATTGCTAACTGCCCAATAGTAGATTTTGGTCTCTCTCTAAATGTTCCTCTCGGTCACATGGTTTTGAACGACCGAAGTGATGGCCGTATGCCTGCCTTTGGGTACAGGTGTACTTGCCAGTCTCGTCCATCGTGAGAACGCTGGATATGCGCGGAACTTTGCGTTGAAGTCAACCTACGGCATGCCGCATGGCAAGTTCAGCGATCGATACATACCGTGTTTCAGGCTGGTTGGAAAGAAGACACGCGTGCCAAATCAAGACAGCAGTGCAATGTTGCAGTCTTGTGTCATTCCACAACTGCAGGCCGATGACTTTTTGAGTGGCAGCAGGATGGTGCGCCTGCCCATTCTACGCAAACGGTACGTGATTGCGTTAACGAAACTTTCGGTAATCATTGGATTGGTCGTGATGTACTTATGGGTTGGTCGGCACAGTCTCCGTATTCGAACGCCCGGCGAATACTGCTCCGCAGGCGAAATGACGGCGGTCATTTATCTGCTTCGTTGCTTTTTATGCTCCTGAAACCTACTTCATATAAATATATGTATAATGCGTAACAATTGGTTTCACTATCACATTGTTGCGATGGGTAATGGTGCCAATACTTCGTCGGGGTAGAAGGAACGCTAAGCGAAAATAAAACCAGACGATAGGTGAGAAACGCGCGATCGCTCAGTTGTCCGACAGGGTGCAGGCGTCGCTGTTGATGTTTACTGTAAAGTTGACGACGGTGGACGAGACCGTTGAAGCTCAGTAGGCTGCGTTAGACGCTTCTTGCAAGCCACGGTCACGTACTTTCGTTGCACATGCTCGTTGGCGACTTGGCACTTTTCTTCAGCCGTTACAGCTTCACTTTGGCTTAATGTATACATGCTAACGTTGCAAACATGTCTGCCCTTTGACAAGAAGCCTTACCGTTGTTCCGTTTGCTTTCGTCTTTATTCATTTGCTTATGTTCGCTTCTAGGTGCCGCTCCTTACCGCAGGTTCTAGCACATCGGAACACACAGGGACGTTGTTCACAGATTCACCGGCAGCCTTAGTCTGGTTGTTGGTTTTACGAACTTCAAAGGATATCATCGACAGCCATACTGTGTGTTTAAGAACGTGCAATTGCAAAGTTCCACCTGACCAGGCCTGTAGAAAACCATGTTATGCCTCCTTGATTCGATATTTCGAGAAGAGGAAACCTTTCATCTCATCTTGACCGTTCGTGGTTCTTCTAGACAGTCGGAGTGCGGTGTAACAACAGGCAAACAGTATGCTAGCCTGTTGCCAAGGGCATTGGACAGTTTAGATTCATCCATCTTCTCCCGGGTGTTGAACGCGTTTTGAATCGCAACCGCAGTGTGTGTCGCTGGAATCGATAACAAGGAATGCCGCATGAAAGCTACGGCGCACAGCGGTGTGGCTGTGTGAAGGAAATGGCCGCCTTAATCACATACAGACTAATATCCAAAGGCTACCGATCATGTCGCAGGAAGTTCGAAATGGGGATGTTAGCGATCGCGGTTCTGGGTTACAGTTAGAGCATCGGTTAAACTCTCGAAACTGTTAAGGCACTTGTGGTTGCCAGCTATTGCTGGGATGCTTTGGTGATAATTCATGAGCGTGATCAAACAGAGTGGGGTCATGCAACGAAATGATCGTGCGTGCATACGCACTAAGGACGTGAACACAGCGCCAGAAGTTTATTCGCTAGTGTAGTGTTGACCGATATTGCGTACCAGTGAATGACATTCTACGGCTAGCCCACTCACGGGGAGAAGATGTTAATGCGACATTATAGCGGGGTATACTGCGTTGCCAAACTTAAGCTGATGGTTTCTGAGGTGGATGTCATACATGAATTGCCAGCATCTGTACGATGGAAATACGAAACCGCGTAGCCTAATCTCACATCACCACCTCGTTCACATCCTCCTTATATTTCTTAGGCATAACCATAAAAACAAGTATCCTCATCATGAACCATGTTGCATAGAAGTGGTCAGTCTAAACGATTTGTAATGATGCCAGTACTTCGTCCGGGTAGAATGCATGCATAACTGACGTTAACCTCGTGTTTGTCATGTCACTGAATTATGATTACCGCCATTCCTCTGTCAATCATGCTTCTCCCATTGCGAGAGAACAGCAGCTGGCAAATAACGTAGAAGCGGCTTAAACTAAAACCGTGCTGTGATTGTTTGATCAGTGCAATGGTGTTATAATGTTGACAACTTTGCTCCTGAGTATTCTTTGCAGGACTGAATAGGCAGCCAAGTTACTGTTTATATAGTAAGATGTTCTTTAACCATGGTGAAGATGCTTAGCTACAAGGTGTAGATTTTTTCACCACCGATTCTCGTTGGCGACTTCGGCACTTCGTTTCAGCCGTTGTAGCTTGAATGTGGTGCACCTGCCCGTTATGCACAATCGGTGCGGGATTACCTAAACGAGGTGTTCGTTCACCGGTGGATCGGTCGCGGAGGTCCTGAGAATTGGCCTGCCCGGTCACCCGATTTGGACCCCTTAGATTTCTTTCTATGGCGTTATTTGAAAAGAACCGTGGCAGCGAGACTGGACCTTAACGTGGTGCGACGGTTTGCGTACCTCCTTGACCCATTGAGCTATACTGGGTGGTGCCCCTGGGAACCTTAAGAGCTACTGCTACCAGCTTGGTCAATGGTGAGAGATCAGACAACCTCAGTCTTCTGGTCCTTCAGGTTGAGGGTTTGAAATGGGATGACGTCCATTTCTGTAAAATTAACACATTGCCACCTTCCCGCTGCCTTGCGGACAGGCTTTTGAGCTAAGTGCTTTGGTTGAAGACCCTAATCATCCTCCTGTCTAGGTCTGGGCGCCCTGGCTATCTCAGCCCACATACGACCATGACTTTCTTCAAACATAATTTTCATTCTGCATCGGCCGTCGCACAGATTATCAAGTGTCACCTTATCTGCTGCAGACTGCAGGGCGGATAAGCGAAAACATGCTATTGTTTACGCCTCTCTTCTTTCTTTTCCACCTGTTTCCCTTACTCCCATCCCGACCTCATTTT